TCAACGGAAGAGCAATCTCGGATGACGCCTATTGTTAGATACCTCCAAAATGACGAGTTGCCACCAGACAATAATGAAGCTCGAAGAACCAACGCTAAGACTGCCAAATTTGCATTATAGATGGTAAGCTATATAAAAGATCTTTCTTTGAACCCTATCTCTAATGCATCAACAATGTTGAGGTCGAATATATTTTGGCTGAACTTCATGAAAGATAATGTGGCAATCATGCAGGAGCCCAAAGATTGGTGTACCCTTAGTTAACATTGGTACTATTGGCCAACAATGTGGGCCGACTCTTTTAATAATGTCAAAAAGTGTGATCCATGTCAGAGATTCGCTAATATCTCATACTTCCTACTAGAACGGCTCAACTCCATTCTTTCACCTTGGCCTTCCTAAAATGGGAGATGTATGTCATCGAAAAACTTGCAACTACTCCAGGACAATGAGTTTTTATGCTAGCAATCATTGACTATTTCACAAAGTGGATTGAAGTCAAGACACTCTCATAGGTACATGTTCGCAAAATTATCAAATTTATATGGAAAAACGTGATATGTGGGTTTGGAGTTCCAAAAGAAATAGTCATAAAAAATGGGTCACAATTTATAAGCATTAGGTTTCAATTTTTTTGCAAAGAGTGGAACATCAAGCTGAACTTCTCCATTCCGTGGTATCCCAAGCCAGCAATCCAGTCGAATCTTCCAACAAGACTATTATGACGACATTAAAGAAAAGACTATTTGAAGCCAAAGGAAATGGGCAGACAAGTTATCTGGAGTCTTAAGATCCTATCACACCACCGTTCGGACAACAATCGACGAAATCCCTTCTTATTAATTTACGACATAGAAGTAGTCATACCAGTGGAAACGATATTCCAACATTTCAATCTAAATGGACAACTGATGAACAGAATCAAGTTAAATTGCGCCATGATTTAGATCTGCACGCACGAACAAAGAGTAAGAGCATTGGATCGTACATTCGCATATCAATAAGAAGCTACCCAACACTTTAACCGACAAATAAGAACTAGAACTCTCAAAAAAAGCGAGTGGGTGATAAGAAAAGTATTCCGGAATACCGAAAGAGCTAGTGTAGAAAAGTTTGCTGCTAATTGGGAAGGACCGTACCTATTCATGAAGGTCGTTGGATAAGGAGCCTACAAGCTATGCATCATGAACGGTAGATATGTCAACAACAGTTGGAACGCAATCTATCTTCGCAAATATTATTTCTAAATCTTCTAAACTCTTTTAATTTCTTGTATTTTTATTTTCACTCAATATTCGTACTGACTCAGGTATCGGAAAGCCGATGGCATTTCGAAATGCCATAGTGGTCCTAACATCTACTGTTTTCAAGGAAATCGATGACAAAGTTTTGGATGGTCCTAATGAAACCAAATTGAGCATGTTATCCTTCCACTAGGAAATATCATCATTATTTTCCTACTTAATTTTTTACCACCGTCAGGATCAACACAAACTTAAGCATAGGAGAGCCGATGATAGAAATGCCATCGACAACCTATACTTGTCTTGTCTTTGTTCTTGGGAGATTCACCGAGTGGGAAAAACGTATCACTCATCAGAGATCAAAATTTCCTCATCAATGGAGATTTGAAAAGCCTTGGATTTGAGGAGAGGAAGATCCTATACAGATACCAAAAATTATTTGGAATCTAGACACTGATCGATAAAGTTGACAACGTAGATTCCATCAAGCCAACTAGGCAAAAAAATAAAAAATAAAAATCACACTATTGCTTTCAAGTCATCTAGACAAGGATGGCTCTACCATTACCATCAAACCAATCCAAACGAATATTTGGATGCCTTCTAACTAGGATAGCCTTCAAGCCAACCAATAACATTACATACTAAGTCGGATGGACCTGAATGATCGAATCCTTTTACAAAATGCGTTTATGAGTCTATTTTATTTTTCAAATTAGGAAATAAGTTCCATTTCTATTCAAATATTATGCTCATAAATTTATGCATGATTTCATTGTATTTCGAATAAAATTCTAAGTTAGATATTTCATCAAATTTATAGGTAACCTAGCTCATAACCCAATTCTACACATTACATAATTTTGAAAGACATAAGTTCAAATACACTCTTACGAATACTAACACATAAGTCCAAAAGAAAATGTCAGTCGAGAAGCACACTTGGAAAATATGCTACCAAAGGGATCTAAACTTGCTCATCATCAACATTCCCGATCCTCATCGGACATAGCCTCGACTTCGAGCTGTTCTTCTATCATATTCGGTATACTAAACATCTAGCACAACTCAACATAATTGACAATCCCTTTGTCCACGTCCCAGCTTACATGTTTACCTTTCGTATAATCATTCATAGGAAAGGCTCTAGTGGCTATCTTAACTTCTAGTTGGAAATTCTCCAGAGAAGCAATCTGAGCCCAAGAAGATTTCTCCAAGTTTGCAAGCTCTTCCTCCAACACAAGTCTCTCGCGAACTATCCCAATTAGCTCATCTATCACCTTTCTAGTAGCTAAATCAACATCTTACTTCCCAGCCCTCATATTTTCGACTTCTCCATGTAATGAAGTATTTGCATTATACAATGAGCGCGCCTTTTTGGTCTATCTAACAACTTTGTTTACCTTTACTAAAGTATACACAAAATACTAAGCCTGGAAAATCTAAGCCATCATGCTCTCCACTACTTTTACTTGACCAAGTTGCTCATACTGTATCTGGTCTTCAAGAAATAAAAGGCCTTCCCTAAGTACCACCACCCTAGGGTTAGAAAACATAGATGAAAAGAAGGGAAAGGTAAGCACAATCAAATCATCATTTTCCAACAATAGTCTCAGATGACCTTACTTTCGAATTGTTCTAATTTAGCTTCTATTTTATTTTTGTCCCAATGTTTTATAGGATCTTCTCTTATTATTTGAATCTTTTAAGCTAATTCTAAAATTTTATATAGCCCCTGTTTGGTTTCCATTAATTTCTATTCCATTACATTTCTTTTTTTCTTTCCTATTTTCAATCACATAATATTTCATAAAATAATATTACACATAAATCGAAAATTTTTCCTTCTTTTTCAACTAATCATTTTTCAAAAAAATATTATTCCACCCATTTTCATTTTCACATAATGGAGGCCAAACGAGGACATATATTATCTACCTTAGATGACATTTTATTAAAAATTATTAATTCTTTAGTTCTTAGTATAAAATCAGTCTATAAGGTTTCTAAAGATAAATGCTTTAAGCATTCTAAACTTTCTAAATTATTTAAATTTTCGTCAAAATCTAAGCTTTCTGTTTGTGAGTTTAGGGGTCAACCACGCTTCGCTCACAACTCTGATGAATCTATAGTATTAATAATAGACGTGTCTTTTCCAAAAATTATTACATCGAGAGTAATTGTTAAACTTCCCTTTCTACTTATGGTTTGTTTGGCACTCTTTAAAATTTTAAATTATTTGCTACAGTATCATTCTCACTACATATTCACGCAATAAAAATATCCTACACACAAACCAATAAAGTTTATTTAGTTTTCAACCACACATTCTTCATAAAATACTATTCAGAACTCTTTAACTTTCTAAATAACGGACAACAAATTGGGGCTTAGTAAGAATTTTATACCTATAACATATTCATCTTTTATTATTTCACTAATTAATATATTTGTTAAATTATACTGTCTTTCTTGAAATCTACTCTTACATTCATCAAAAAGTCTTTCTTCAAATTTCATTTTATTGTTGTCCATTTCACTACCTCTTATTTCATATTCTAGTTTTTGTCTACAGTCTTGAGAATTAACTCTTTTCTAATTATGTTAAATGTACACCTTGCGTCGATTAAAGCTAATACATTTAGTTTTATCATCTTATTTATTTGTATTTCTATAGGTATTCTAAGACTTTTGGTTGGCTTTACTCTAGATATTTGACAAATTATTTCTTCTTGATTTTATTTCTAAATAATTATTCTCTGTGTAATTATTTACATGCTGTTTTCCTTTTGTTTTTAAATTTCTAATCTTACTATAATATTTAGTTTTGTTATTTATTTAGTTTTGTCATTAATTTCTTCTTTTAATTTCAAAACATTTATTACATTGGATTTCTAGGTAGTTTTTACACTAATTTCTATATTTATGTCAAGTGTATATTTTGCATTTATCCATCATTAATCATTGTCCTCTAATCCATTCATGGCCATATTCTTGTTCTATACTCATCGCTTTTGTATCTAGAATTGAAAATCTTATTCTTCTAAACTACTATAACTATCTTTAGAACTATTTATTATTTTAAATTGTTTAATTATTCATTTGTGTAAATACTATATACTGAATTACAAGATTCATTATCAGATAATTCTACAATATCACACTGATTTTTTTATTTATCAAAGATTTAGCTATATTTTCTCTTCTTTTATTTTTATTGGGACATTTAATAGCAAAATGTTTAGAATCCCTACAAATATAACATTTACATTTTTTTTTAATTTCTTAGCTTTTTAACATTTCTATTAGAATTTGGTCTTTTGCTTTTATAATATGTCATAATTTGTCTAATATTATACTTTTTCTATCTTTATATTGTCTTTTATATTTATATATTTTATCCTTTCTATGCAATTTTTCTTCTTCTTCTATAATCATAGGTATGTGGTGCCTATAAACCTAAACAAAAAGAATAATTTAATTTCTTTATTTGTTTTCTAGCTACTACTTTTATACAATATTCTTTTCGTTAACGACAGTCGGTAGGTTCACAGAAATAGAACAAGGACGATGCATAGAATTAAACATAAATAATAGTCTTTTGAGTGGTAATTGAATCCCTTGAAGTTATGATGAGATTTTGAGTAGTAATTGAAGAGGACATCGTAGGCTTTTCAACGGTATCAAAATCCGATGGTCTTGATAGTTGGAAGTTGTCGAAAAGTTGTCGCAAAAATCGCTCAATTATTTGAAGTGATGAGTGGTGGATGTGTAACTATATGAAAAGATGAGTGAGTATTCAGCAACGGGTGACGTTCAGTGAGCATTCGTTTAATTTACTGTAAAGAACCTCAATGAGAAAGTCAAGAAAGAAGGTATTTCTTTCACCCTTTTTTCTCTACTAGTATATTATCTTACTCCAGTTTTCTTGGTCAGAAAAAAACTTATCAACATGTTTCATTCGCCTAAGCTTTATTTTTTTATACATTTCTTGGTCTATATTTCCTCTAATGGGTCTTTCTCGCCGTCATTGCATTTGCATTATGGGCATTGTACCTTTAGCTACAAGCGTATCGTTTTGGTTGTAGGCAATTTTGTGTTTACAGATTTTGAGCTTTGAGAGTCTTATACCAATCCTTGGGGGAAAAGTATTATATTATGTGTTCCTGGCTATTATAATTTAAAATTTGCAAACTAGGGTTTTTCCATTTCTTCTTACTAAAATAATAATTTCTCCTCCTTGCATTTTCTCATAGGATGAATGGACGTTCACGTTTTGCTGGCACTTGTGTTTTGGATGTGGAATTGGGACCTTGGAAGTGGCATGGGAAAACTCACAATTCAAATTTGGATTATGATTTTCTGATTTCCATGCCTAGATCCCAAATTGAAAATCCTTGTTACCAAAGATGACATCAGTAAATCACTATTCATTAGCACCTGCACGGTCATGGGGTAGCTTGAACTAGTAGAAAATTCAATCTAGCTGTCAAAGGGTCTGATCCTTATGATCACTCGTATAACTGATGAATTATCTTCACATGTTACAATCATTTTACAATGAGAGCAAGCTATTTTGAGGCCTTTTTGGAATATGACATAAGGTTCATGGAAAAGAAATTGTTACTTTTGCACATAGCATAGTATCAGCTTCTTTAGATCATCTTTTACCAATTTGATTTTGTATCATATTACCTTCGTGTCAGTTTTGCTATTTTAAGTTTTTATTTTTTAAGCAAAGGGCTCAAAGATTTTTATTGTTTTTTAGATATGTTGGTATAAGGTTTATTACATATGTATGCATGGAATGGATACCCGTCTGTTGTGAATTAACTTTCTTAGGAGACAGATTCACATGCTTTAATTAAAGCATTTTATCAAGATTACAATTGCCTTTAATTTTTTTACCCCTTTATATTTTTGATTTAATCTCTTTTCTAAAACTTTTCCACCTACACTTTCTTAATCAATCAAGCGATAGGTGAGACTTGAAATTGCCTGGCCTTTTTTTCTTCATCTTTTACATTTTAATCACACTAGTGCTTGGTGGGGGTAGGCATTCACTTTCTAACTTGAGGCACTGGTTGCCTTCACATCTTATGTTAACAAAGACTTTCCATTCATTTCAATTAAACTCGTAAGCATATCTAGCGTGTAATCCCATCTCGAAAGTTGATCGAGAAAGGAATGATTTTTTTGCAAATCAATCTTGATAAAGACTTTGATACTTATTCTATTTGTTTCCCCTGAACATCGAGTCAATTGATGTATGCTCCATATAGCTTAGTCTAACGATTTTGAGGTTTATTTTCTTGCTCGTCATTAATATGTTGGACAGAGTTGAAGAGATCTCTTTATGCCTTGTTCTCACAGTATGGGAGAATTGTGGACATTGTTGCACTGAAAACTGCCAAGCTTCAAGGACAGGCATGGATTGTATTCAGTGAAGCGACAGCTGCAAGCAATACAGTGCGACAAATGCAAAACTTCCCATTTTATGATAAACCAATGGTGGGTACAATGAATTGCACCATATCTATGTATGAATTGGATATATTTATATAATAAATTCACTTTTTGGGGAGATATCCACTTGCAGTCTGTATAAGTATGTCCATTCTTCTTCCCTTTCCCCCACTGGGTTCTTGATTTTATGTTAGATAGAATACATTGTTTTTTCTGTTCATTGTTTGTTGGTACAGTCTACTAAATTAAAAGCGTTGATCATTGTTGATTAAATTCAAGTTTCATTTCTGATTATTCATCCTGGTCTCCCCTGGCCAATAAAAAACCAAATGGGAAAGGAAGAGAGAATTCAACCTGTGGGCTGAATTCTTCTCATCTCTGGAGAAACCATTTTTTAACGTTGAATTCAGTATCTATGTTAAATTAATCTTAGTTCTGTAGTTGGCATGGATAAAAATTTACTTCCATTTTATTTGTTGCGGTAGGAGTTTTGTCTGTTCCACTTAGTATAGTCGTCATTCCTTGTGCTTCGCTAGACAGATTCTGATCACACTCCCGTACATGAAACTTGGAAAGATTGAAAGTGGATAAAAGTGGCTCTCTCTCAAAAGGATTGCTTACTTCTGATTTCTCATTATTGAGATATATGTGATGTGAATTTATAATTCATGAGCTAAAATTTGTATTTTTTCTCTTTCCAAATATTTTTTGTTTGCTATGGCAGCGAATACAATATTCCAAATCAAAATCAGAGTGCATTGCTAAAGCAGAGGGCACCTACGACAAGAAAAAGAAGCAAGAGGAAAAAGGTAAGGCTGTGGTTGGTTTGGCGTTTTCGGGCCATTTTCCATTTTCCGTTTTTGAAAACGCGGAAAACGCGTTTGGTCCGTCGAAAATGCATTTTCGAAAACGAATTAAAATTTATAACTGAAAACGCAGAACGACTTTTTATCATATTGAGCGTTTTCAGTTATAAATTCTCAAAACGCGGAAAACACCCAAAACGAGCCGTTTTCGGGGAAGAGTAAAAATCGTTTTAAAATTGAAAATGGAAAATGGAAAGCTAAACCAAACGCACCCTAAAATTAGGCTGTCCAGCTTATTCATTCTATTCCTCCCTCTCTTCCTTTCTTTTAGTTATTGTTTTCAAAAAGTTTGCACATTTAATATGTACAATGGATCAGTGTCCTGGATACAAGATCTTGGAGCTTTGACATTCCTCTAACATAGTATGTGGTAGAACTCCAAAACCTGCGATTTACCTCCCTCTTCCCATTTTTTTTTCTCTCTAAACGTCAGAATGAATATGCTACAATACCCTCCTCTTTATTTATATTCAGGCTACAATTGCATTTGGAGATAATTCCTAAATTATTCCCAGGTGAACCAGTGGCTTGAATGTCCCTTTCTGCCCTTTTGCTTGATCTGCCCAATTTTCCCCTGGGATTCTATCAATACCCCATCCTAGAAATACCTTGTCCTCAAAGTGAAAGTCGGGGAGATGTTGCTTAGGAGATCAGGTGGCTTCTGAAGGGGACAATTATGTCTGTAAATGGTGGCTGCACGACTTGACCAGAGTGAAGAAAAGCCTGATTAAGAAAATTGGTTCGGTCCTCAACTTACTGGCCCTGCCCCTTCCACCATGAAATTTCCTCCACTGTTATTATGAGTTGGCCTCGTGAATCCAATCCGAATCATTCTCTCGGTTGTGCCTTTCCCTTTGCAGCATCATCTTCTCAAACCAATTCTATATCAATCCCCAGCTTTCCTCCATTGTTGATGTCATTTGCCAGGTAAATGCTTTGATACCAAATGGCAGAACTTCCAAACACACATATTTTGCTGAATTACTGAATGGAAATGGCATGAAATACAAGTTCGACAGGTTCTCGAGTGGACCTGCCTCTCTCCCTACTTTTCTCTCAAAACGTCAGGATGAATATGCTAGTATGCTACAATACCCTCCCCCTTTATTAATATTCTGGCTGCAATTGCATTCTAGAAGATTTCCAGATTATCCCCGTGTGAATTAGTGGATTGAATATCCCTTTCTGCCCTTTTTCTTCATCTCCCCATTTTATCCCTGGGATCCTATCATTATAAATATTCATCTACGTACTACATTGATTCATTTGCCCCCGTAAGACTTAGTAGTTTAATGCCTGCTGATAACTTTTGAAGCACAAGAAATTTTCGAAACAGTTAAAATATGAGAGATATTTTTGGTCAATTATTTTATGTGGCACATTAATTGGATTCTAATGGCTTACTCAAGCATGGTGGTCGCCAAAGAGAATGCAATTCAAGAGGCGTTTGATGTATTCAAGCTACCCCATAAATTTGACATGGAACAAAAATATATTACACGAAAAGAAAATGATGATAGAGAGGACATAGATTGAACAAATAAGTGACTTTGTGTTTGGGACTTGTACGAGGGGTTTGAGAATTGCCATTTTTCTTAAAACGTCAAACATATGATTTGTGTGGATACAGGTATAACATGATAACCGAAGTCGTGGAGGAATAGTATAGCCTTGAAACAAAGAAGAAATTTACAATCATTAGGCAAATTGTTGTGCCTGTTCGTGGATAGTAGTTTGTTTAAATTATACAATGAAATACCTGTGATGTCAGACTGAACAGCTTATCTTTTCCTGGAATATGGAGTTTAATAATCTACTAAGTAGAAAAGTGGGATCTGTGAAGCTTTAATTCTTTTATGTAATTACTCTCTTTTTCTTTTTCTTTTTTGGGGTGTGCATGACCTGTGTAGCGTTGAAGCTTTAGTGAATTTTTCACAAAGACATCTTGGTTTTGCCATCTCACTTTGCACGTTTTATTTATTGGCTTAACATTCTTTAATATTTTTTTTTTTTTTTTTTTTTTGGGTGATCCAGCTGAAAGAAAGACACGTGTTAGAGAGGGTCTGCAAACTGCCACTGGTAATGGTCCTAGCGCTGACACCAATGGAGGCCCACCAGTAAGTTCACTGCATTTGAAATTTTGAGTTATGTCAGTTACCTTTTACTCCCTTCCCCCCCTTCTGATGCTTATTAGTGTTGGGTATCGTATGAAATTTTGTCTATCTTATGTCGCGAGTAATCGAAGTGAATTTAGTATCGAAGCTGTTACTGGAATTAGCGAGTCTATGAGAAACTCATTTCGCCAGTGTTTGCCTTGTAGATCTTCCTCTATATCGTTTGTTTTTGGTCATGGCATTAAATTGTATTTGTTTGACATCTGCTTCTCATCATAGATTATATTTCATTCTTTGGTTTCTTGATAAGATAGTAGCTCTCTTTGTATTTTTGCAGTCTGCTATAACTATTTTTTCCCTTTTATGGAGTAAAAACTAGTTACCGTACATGACTTGGGTTTGTGAACACTATTTATTGTTAACAGAATTTCAAAAAGAAAATTTTGTATGAAAGGAAATGAAGTAGAGATGGTTGTTTCAATTGGTACATTGTATGTATTTAAGTAAGTATTGTTGCGATATTATTATATCCGTTATGTATATTGAATATGAATTAATCTAAATGTCCAGAATAGAGATTCACAGAATTGTGCCAGAATAGAGATGAAGGCGGGTCCCACATGTGTATAAAAAATTGGCAACAAATTGCTGGTCCCACGTGATTGTGTCTTTCCTGTAAGAATTCTGTAAGCCAAACATTGTTCATTGAATATTTGCAGTGCTTCTATGTGTAATAAGCCAACAACTATGACCTACTGTGTCTCACCCATATGTCCCTGCTTGGGGGCCCATCCTTTGTCAGCAGCACTGTCCAAACTTCCGGTCACTCTCTCTCACACATGCCACACAACTCATATACGTGCCAACTTGTACCACTTGAACTATGACTGTATGACACGAGCGATAATCATCTGTTCTTGGTCTACATATTGGCAGATTTAACTGGCCAAAATCCTTAAATGTCAATAATAATTATTCTTGCTGTGGGTATTCATTGGGAGTTTTCATTTCTTTGTGCCAAGAAAAATGACTTTGGCTTCCTGTATCTCTTCCTAAATTTCCTATTGGGTATAACATAACATTTTTATTCTACTAACTCATTTTTGGGGAAAAAAAATTATTTGCAGGCTTTGTCTTGGCAAGCAAAGTCGGGTGCACAAGAAGCAGCTGCGGAGCCGAACAGCATACTCTTTATACAAAATTTACCATACGGGACACCTTTTTTGATGTTAGAAGTTCTTTTCAAACAATACCCTGGCTTTAGAGAAGTTCGAATGATTGAAGCAAAGCCAGGTATCGCCTTTGTAGAGTTTGATGATGATTTGCAGTCGTCAGTAGCCATGCAGGCACTTCAAGGCTTCAAAATCACTCCGCAAAATCCCATGGCCATCACCTACGTGAAAAAGTGAGCAATATACTTTGTTGACCTAGTGCCATGTTTCTGTTCTGCTTATCATGACAAGTAACTGTATCCGTTGAGAGAGATGTATTGAGTAGACTTATGGTAGTAGAAGCCGATCCTTGTCTAGTCTCATACGTACTTTTGATAAACATGTACGTCATAGAACCTGCTTTATTGCATATGCGGGGAAGTAGACCGAGCTGTACATTTACTATAAGCAGATTGAATCTGCTTCCTTTTGTTGTTCCTAGTGAGTATTCACTTTCTACAAGCACGTTTCATGTTGCGCAGACTGTATCTTGTATACAAAAATCTGCATTTAATTGTTTATTAAAATTACAAGGCATGTTTGACTTGCAGTATGAACATTCTGGACAACACATGAATGTCAGGTTCTCTTCTTCCTGTAATGTCATCGAGCTGAGTCTATTTCACCTTGCCAAACATTTCCAAAAGTTCAATAATGTTGGTTCTGCAAGTGTTCTTGGCAAAACATCTTTAGTTTTTATTGTGATGGTTTGCTACCTAGCTGGTGATGGTGCCATTACCCCATGTCTCTTTAGGCTCCTCTTTGTAGAAGTTATTTATCTATAAAGCATGAAACAATGTGCCTAGCTATACAAAAGATTTTGAAGATAAAAAGCAATTTTTTCTATAATTTTATTTTGGGCAACTTTAAATGGGTAATATGATTTTCTGTCATGTGAACCATAATATATTTTATTTTATATGTTTAGCTCTGCCTAAAAGTTATTTTTTCAGTCAGATAACAATTGTACTTTTTATAAATTAAAAGAAGAAATTTTTTTAAATAACTTTGAATTTTAACTTGTAACTTATCAGCTTTCAACATAGGCGGGCTTTGTCAAAAAACTGTTGTATATTACTTACTAGCATAAGTGTTGAACTTTGAAAAACGTCGAACTTATAGTGAGTAATGTACAATAATTTTCAAAATTCAGTAGTCAAAACTCGATATTTTAAATTTTATTGAGCAATTGAAGACATATATCTAATTTCAAGGATTAAGGTTTGACATTTTAAATTTCAGTGATCAATCAAAGATATGGACCTAAGTTCAGTAACCACTGAAACAATTAATTCGATAGTCCTGCTATTCAATAATAAATCTCATTCCAAATATACCCTTCTATCCCACTTCAATTTTAAAAGCCCACCCTTCTCCTGGCGCCAATTTCCTTACTTTCAAGAATCAACGGTTTTTCACATTTTACTCTAGATATCTTGCTTCCACACTGAAATGCACAATGGAGACGCCGACACCGAAGCCCCCTAACCTCCTCCTGAGCAATATTCTGGTGCGCCTCCTCTCCTTCGGTGTTCTCGTGCTCCTCGCTCGTTTGGCTTACGTCATAACCGTCAAGGGACGATCTTGTGATTCCATTGACTTCTGCTTCTTCCCTCAGTCCGTGAAATACAATATCGCAACATCCACTACTACCACCTCCCCCGCCGCTGTCGTCGCTGCCGCGAACATCTTTGTCGTTCCTTCCGCCCGCCTGAAAACCTATTATTCCTCCATTTTCCTAGACCTAATTGCTCAAGGCTTCCTATCGCTAAATTCAAAATCTCTCTGCATTGGGGGTATTACAGGAGAAGAAATTATTGCGTTGAAAGAGATTGGAGTGTTTAACTCCGCTGGAATTTCGTTGAAGAAATCGTCTCGGCCGTTTATACGATTCAAGAATCAGACATTTGGTTTCGTGTTTTCAAGTACCGCCGGACTGGATGAGGTGGCGAAGCCGGTGGAGTTTGCTTCGGAAGTTTACAGAACCCTAAAGCATGGCGGTTTCTTCGTTGTCCATACAGAATCAGCCAATGATGAGTACAGTCTCGCCTCTTTGCTTCAATTATTCGATTCTTTTACAATGATTAAATTGAGCGAAGTTGATGGTTTCGATTCATCATCTCCATTGATTCATGAAATCATCTTCAAGAAAGAAAAAGGGGTTTTCAGATTCAATGAAAATGAACGGTTCTTGAATGGTGATTCAGTGAGTAAATGCTCTGTTCCAAGCTATAAGCATAAATTGATCAAAAATGCAGAGCCGTTAATTAGAGAAGAGCCATTGAAACCTTGGATTACATTCAAAAAGAATATAAAGAATGTGAAATATCTGCCTTCCATGGTTGATATAAGCTTTAAGAATCAATACAGGTATGTGG